TTAACATTTGTTCAATGTAAAATTACCATTCAGTCAATCGTATCTAGAAATATAGATCTAAACTGGAGAATTTATCATTTGGTCAGCATGAAATTAAAAGTAAATACCCGACCGTATGTAGAGATGCAGACTGTAATCGTAAGAGCATTTCAATTATAGGTCAACTAGAAATTGCAGGCATTTGTCTGTGTTCAGAATCGTTAGATTGACATCATCGGTCTGTCCGTGCCTACAGATGATTCTGTTTCACTCCCTCTTTTACCGCTTTGGGTGTCAAAGGAAATATAAGGTTCTGCGTCTTGCATTTCTGGTTTCCTCCCCCATCGACATGTCCTATTTCTGAAGAGTTTATCTGATGTTATGTTTCCATCTTGTTTTTGGTGCACTTCTTGTTCGACGTCCTTCTCTTTTAGTGAATGCTTGTATGTATGGCGTTGCATGGTATTTCTCTCTGAGTGGGCAAACAATTTGTTGCTGTTTTTGCATGTAATTTGACAATGGCCTTACCGATACACTCAGCCTTTCTCAGACATCCAGTTTCTATGGTTGCTAACATTTTTTGCCTGGGTTGTTTTGAGTGAAAATGCAGGGCACTGGTAGCACATGGCAGGAATGAACATGCTTTGTATGAGGTGTTTCTTTGTGCTGATCAAGACTGTCTTATGATGTTATAGGGGATATGGCTGTAGGCTGCTGAAATCTTTTTGGGGAATAGTACCAAATGTTTATTGAAAAGGTATCTAAACACACCAAAGGGTGCCGATTTTTTAATTTTTTATTCGAAAATCTTTCTTTCTTTCTTTGTCTGTCTTTCTTTGTTTCTTTTTTTTGTTTGTTTCTGTCTTTCTGTCTTTCTGTCTGTCTTTATTTCTGTCTTTCTGTCTTTCTTTCTTTCTTTCTTTCTTTCTTTCTTTCTTTCTTTCTTTCTTTCTTTCTTTCTTTCTTTCTTTCTTTCTTTCTTTCTTTCTTTCTTTCTTTCTTTCTTTCTTCTTTTCAATTTTTCTTTCTTTCTTTCTCTCTTTCTTTCTTTCTTTCTTTCTTTCTTTCTTTCTTTCTTTCTTTCTTTCTTTCTTTCTTTCTTTCTTTCTTTCTTTCTTTCTTTCTTTCTTTCTTTCTTTCTTTCTTTCTTTCTTTCTTTCTTTTTCTTTCTTTTCTTTGTTGTCTAACAGACGTCAGGTTGTAACTCAATGTCGTGGTTTTTGTGCATTCGTCTTGCGCTTCTCGTGTGGCCTGGGTAATGGATTAACCAAATCAGCTTGTTTTTTGTCCCGTTACGCCTCTGGCCTAGCAAGCTGGCAAGAGTGTAATCAACTGATATCGCACAAAAAGGAATAAAATCTGTTAGGATGTTTATATATATATATATATATATATATATATATATATATATATATATATATATATATATATACATGGGCTAAGTTTTTATTTGACCAGCAGTGGAATTGTGTGTCTGTTATATCGTTGCTTTATCATCACTATCTGAGATAATATTCATATTTTATGCTCACTCATATTGGAAACTTAAGCTCAAACAGCAGTTAAATAAAACCTACAGGAATCTTTATAAACGTATTAACATTTCTTCGAAGTAAACTGAATCAGAAAATCTTGAGCAACAAATAAGTTGGATTCTCTAACTGCAACAAAAGTCACGAAAGAGAACCGTCCGTCAGTGGTATGGAGGGAAACTCGAGACTCGCCTTTGAAAAGGAAACAATAGCCTACTTGACCAATCATGTTAAATTGTTTATTTACATCAACAACTTCATCACGATTTTCAGTACACTTCCGATCAATATGTATTAAAGGCTCAAAACATACCAACATTTGAAATATTGGTGCACAATGTCTAAAACCTACCAAAAGACGGAGCGTGTTCCGAAAGTAGTTTTGTCAGCAATGGTCAACTAGTACCAAATTTGTACGAAAGTACCAACTTCGACAGCCCTGTCTGGCCGTCTTACTACTTGGTTCTCATCGGATGTTACTTCAGACCATATAATTATTGAAAGAAAATAACATTAAAAACATGAAATGAAAAGCAGGAAACCCATCTCAGCATGTATAGAATGTAATAATTAGAGAAATTAACATTTGTTTAACATCGATTTACAAACAAAAAACCTGCATCTAGAAATAAAATCGACTGGGCAGAGAACACGCAATTAGATGTAATTTAGCAGACAATTTTATTCTACTAAGTAAAAACCAGATAGCATGAAACATCAATACATAAATCAATTATTAAATTAATAAACAAACATAGCATCCACTAGTTAGTTAATAATTTATTATGAAGAGAGAAATATATTGAAGACATAAATAGTTTTTTCTAATATTGTTTACGTTTGTATTCTTTGTTTGATTTTAAAATATACCAGTGAAAGTTTGAAAATTGCTGATGACAAGGCGTGCAAGTTAAATGTATTCGAAAACAAAAGCCAAAGGATGTTGTTCAAGAAAGAGTGTCCGCCTAAAATGCTAGTTTAATCGTTTTACATACCAATCAACCTTCGGTGGTTAATGTGATCAACACTATGTAAGCTGTCTTTACATCCCAGGACATTGTGTTTACTAATTTTAGGCTGGACTGAACGTCTTTTTCTTCTTCTTCTTCTTCTTCTTCTTTCTTCTTCTTCTTCTTCTTCTTCTTCTTCTTCTTCTTC